AGCCCCCTCTCTCCCTCTATCTTTTCTCTATTTTGTAAAGGACTTTTATCAATGCCTAAGTAAATCTATAAGTTATCCTCATTTACTTGGTGTTATAACATTGCAAAAATTATATAGTTAATTGATCATAATTTTGAGGATCTCTCCAATATAGACTCATTTCCCGACTATCATAGTCACCATTCCCTTGATATTATGTACTCCCTTTTCTCATAAATCTAAAGATAGTTTATGTACTTCCATGCTTAAGTATTGTATTATAGTTTTTGATAAACAATATGTGAATAACTATTTTAATATTATCTATTAGTTAACCATAGGCTCTTTATATATCATCGTAATAGTCAAACATAGGGTATATAACTCTATGACATTAATCTTGAAGAACATATCCCCAGTTTAACTAGTATATTAATGAGGAAGATATAAAAAAGTCATTATGGTATAGTACTCTCATAGTAGAGAGACCGATATCACCATTAGGTAACGACCCATATAGTTAATTATATCAAACATAGTTAAAACAATATTTAATCATGGGAAAGATAATCAATGAGTTATATTGTATGTTTGATCATAGCATACCTAGTTAGGTTAGATTGTTTAGTATCACCTAATCGTAGGATACCTAGTCGAGTTATCTATATTAGGATCATAGATAAACTATTCATGAATTGATCATGATAAAAGCCATTTTTACCTCGTTGAGTGAGGAAGGGGTTAATGACATATGTGTTAATCTATCGTGGTCTCTACATGCTTAACCTTAATTCGAGGGATAATATTTTTACCTCATATAATGTGCCTCATCCTAAAGCATGTAAAGACCATAAACTATCTCTCAAGAGAATTATAAAAGAGTATAAGACATAGGGAGATACCTTATGATAGTATGGCTTACCACCATATACTATATTAACGTTGATTGATACTTAGTGTTAAACTATGTCCTTTTGTATTAGGTTATTATATATTATGGTATGTGCCTCTAAGTCATTTATATTGAGTGGGCTCCATAAAAATATGATGAGTGGATAGGTTACTCACTAATATGAGCCATCAACTTTTTCACCCTCCATATACTAAGAAAATGTTAAACTATGTTCCATCATTTATATTATCTAATAAGTTACCCATGTAATAACCCCATTTATCATATAGTTAATTCAAGCTACCAATAAGATGTATTATGAGAGTGGGGCAATTAATGGTGTTAATTATTATGGGTGTAAATTACTTGATCTATTTTTATACCAATATCACATCTAATGAGGGTGAATCTTGGTATATCTAGTGATGAGAATAAAGAAAGTTAAGGTTGTATTGATGGAAACCAAAGAGCCAAATGGGCCAGCAAGGTGGCGTCTCTAAGGGAGATCCAAGATGACAAATTTACAAGTCTAAGATTTGATCCATTACACATTAAAGATGGTCTAATGATGTGTGATAGGCCCGAGAAGCTTAAAAAGCTCTCCATGGGCTGATTTAAAAGTTTTGGGTAGAATGCACTTCCTAGGACCCAAGGGAGCATTGTGGTGCCATCTTAAGAGAAAAGGGGGATCCAAGACTTATCAATCTAATCCAAATCCAAGATTAGGCTCCTTAAATTATATTGAGCCTATTTTGTTATATCTAGCTTAATTATAATTAGAACTAATTAATTAAGTTGAATTTGGGATCAATGTTTTAAGCCCTATTATTTTCCTATTCTTTCAAATCCATTAGGTTTTCTTTATGTTCTCCTTAGATGGAAAGGATGTGTAGAGTCCTTTTAAGGTTAGGAGTGGCACGTTTAGCCTCTTCAAAGGCTAGTTTAGTTTTGTTTCAAAGTTAGACAATAATTTTGAGAGTTAATAAATTTGAGAGGATTTTCATCCTTTATTCTTTCGAGAACTAAATCTGAATTATCAAGGTTGCAACCCTTATGGCATCTCTGAACTCATCATCCTTCATAGAGTGTGCTATTCTTCATTCTATTATAATATAGCTTCGGTTATTGCCTCCTTATAGGCAACGGGTCGGGTTTCATTTATTATAACCTCGATTAGGCACGTTCTTGGGGTTGTCTAGCGACAAAGGTGTTTTGGTTTCTTATCTTTATACATGGGGTTCACATCAATTGGTATCAAAGCCTAGGTTATACAAAGTCAAGTTGGTTAACCATAGTCCTTGCATCTTTTATTTCGTGTCTATCTTGTTTTCTTTGTCGTGTGTTCCTTGTTATGCTACCATATCTTTTCTTATTTGAGTCTTGTGTTCCTTTGCTTGATAAATTGAGTCTTATAGAAAAAAAAAGAGAGGAAAAAAGGGAAAAAGTTTGATTTGTAGTTAACTTCATTTTTAAATATAAATAAGGTTTTTTTCATTATCTTTTGTTCAATTTCGTGTCTTTGTTGTTTTGTTTCCAAATTGTAGTTCCAATTCAAAAAAAAAAAAAACATAGAAAGAAGTCTGATTTGTTTTGCCTCATTGTGTCTTTTTGTTATTGTCTTGTTTAAATTCAATTCAAGTTAGTTCTAGTATCATTCATAGTGTTTGAAAACTTAAAATTGTTATTTGAATTGGTTTATCAATTCCTTGTTCCAATCTGTTCGAAATCCGATCCTTGGAAAGTGAAGTTATTGAGTCACTTGCAATTGGTTAGTTCTTGTATGGTTAGAATTAGATTGTAGAAAAACCAAATGAGTGAATTAGAGTGGTAAAAGGATAGAGAGTGTGAATGTATTAAAGAAAAAGCCCTAAAGAGAGCAAACATGAGCGTTGAGTGGCATCAATTTGAGTGAAACAAGTGAGGGAGTGTGTGTGAGGAATTTTTATTACTAACGAATTTTGTGTATAGGTTTTAAACATGTTAAAAGATAAAATCCTAAAGGACGAGGATGAAGTGATTGTTGATAATAATGTTTGTGGTAAGTCATTGGTAATTGCACACGCTTTAAGCACGTAAGTGAAAAGTGAGGAGGAGGCATGAGATAATATTTTTCATTCCCGATGTCATATCATCAATAATAAGGTCTATCATTTGATAATAGATGGGGGTGATTGTGTCAATGTTGCTAGTCCCGAGTTAGTCGAAAAATTGAGTTTTCCCATAATTAAACATCTTAGACCATATACATTGCAATGGGTAAATGAGTGTGGAGAAGTCAAGGTAAACAAATAAGTGATAATGCCTATTTCTATTGGAAGATACAAGGATGAGGTTTTGTGTGATGTTGTACCGATGAGAGTGGGTCATATTTTTCTAGGAAAGCCTTGGCAAGTTGTTAGAAAAGTGACACATGATGAATTTAGTAGCAGATATTCATTTGAAATGAGGGGAAAAAAGTAACACTTGTTCCATTGTCACCTAAGCAAGTTTATGAGGACCAAATGAGCTTGAAAGAAAAAATTGAAAGAAAAAAGTTGAGAGCACTCAAACTTTCATTCATAACGATGGCTATGCTCGTTGCTAATTTACAGGCATTGAGAGCACTCAAATTTTCAAACATAATGATGACTATGTTGTTATCAATAAAGAGTTAGCAAAGGTTGATTACAAGGCCAAGGCTGAGGCATCCAAATTGAATCTTAATTTAAGAGAACTAGTGCTTGGGGAGAAGTTAAGGAGTATTAAACAAGAAGAGTCTATGTTCATTAAAGATTTGGAAAACAACATGAAGAGCCATAAGAGGACGAGTTTGATAATCTTGCGGCTATACAAAAGGAGGAAGACAATGAGAAGATTATGGATGTTTAAACGAATATACCATATATTGAATTTGTCCTTCCGGAGGAGATGAATGATAACAAAATCAAATCCGAATATTTTTGGTTGTTATTTGTTCGTATTTTATAGGTTGGGTATGCGTTTTTGATACTTTGTTATTACAAGATTTGAGGATGAGTGTTCTCTAATCGAAGGAGTATGATGAGCATCAAGAAGAAGATTCAAGGATGAATCTTTTTGAGGAAAGTGGGAATGATGAGAATAAAGAAAGTCAAGGTTGTATTGATGGAAACCAAGGAGCCAAATGGATCAGCAAGGTGGCGCCTCCAAAGGGAGATACAAGATGGCGAATTTGCAATTCTAAGATTTGATCTATTATACATTAAAGATGATCTAATGATGTGGGTAGGGCTAAAATGCTTAAAGAAGCTCTCCATGGGCTGATTCAAGATTGTTGGACAGAATGCACTTTTAAAGGCCCAAGGGAGCATTGTGGTGCCACCTTAAGAGAAGAGGGGGACCCAAGACTTGTCAATCTGATCCAAATCTATGATTGGGCTCCTTAAATTATGTTTGGGCGTATTTTGTTATATTTAACTTAATTATAATTAGAACTAATTAATTAAGTCGAATTTGGGCTCAATGTTTTAAGCCCTATTATTTTCTTATTCTTTCACATCCATTAGGGTTTGTTTATGTTCTCCTTAGATGGCAAGAATGTGTAGAGTTCTTTTAGGGTTAGGAGTTGCATGTTTAGCCTATTTAAAGGCTGGTTTAGTTTTGTTTCAAAGTTTGATAATAATTTTGATAGTTAATAAATTTGAGGGGATTTGTTTTCTTTATTCTTTTGAGAACTAAATCTGTCTTGTCAAGGATTGCAACCCTTGTGGTATCTCTAAGCTTATCATCCTCTATCGGGTAGGGTATTCTTCATTCCATTGCAATATAGCTTGGGTTCTTGCCTCCTTATAGGCAATGGGTCGAGTTTCGCTTATTATAACTCGATTGGACACATTATTGGGTTTGTCTAAGCAACAAAGGTGTTTAAGCCTCTCATCTTTATACGTGGAGTTCACATCAAATCAACCTATCTCATATATAGTTTTTTTTATATCTTTAAAAACTATCAATTAAAAAGGAAATAAATAATTCAATTATCCTATGATCTTTAAAATAGAGTACACCTCATTCTATAGACATATTTTAAAAAGCAATCTTGGAGGTATCCTATATACTAATGTAAAGATAAAAACATATTGAAATATCTAGTGCTTGACAAGAGAGGGGTTATTCATTCGTTATCTAATGGATCCCCAAAATAGGTAAAAAGGTCTAATGATAGAATGGCATCACTCTTTAGAGTGATTACTCTTGTAATTATACTTCCTATATAGCCTCGACATATACCTCGGATGGAGTAGTGATATTGGTTTAATGTGCCATCTTTTTCATGAGTGAAAACCTTATCATTATACCCTAGAGGGTGTCCCATTATAGGAACACCGATATATTTACTAGTATAATCCTTATCATATATCCACCAATCGACCTATCGCATATACAGCTTTTTTAGATCTTTAAACACGATCAATTAAAGAGGACATAAATAATTCAGTTATCCTATGATCTTTAAAATAGAGAACACCTCATTCTTTCGATATATTTAGAAAAGCAATATTGGAAGTATGTTATATACTAATGTAAAGATAAAAACACATTGTAATTTCTCATGGGCATACCCTTCCCGCTTGACAAGAGAGAAGTTATTTATTCCTTATCTAATGGATCCCATTACAATGTATTTTTATCTTTAATATACTTTGATATTATGAGATAGTGAAAAGAGTATATTTAGATTATTAATACCAATAAGTATGGAATATAGTAGTGATAATATATCTATGGATGATAATTAATCATTATTGGTAATAAGTTAATAGGTATAAATCTACTATAATAACTTTAATTTAGGTGTGATATAATCGGTAAGATCACCTTATCTATTTTAATAAGAGATATTTTAGTAGCCAAATATAGTGCTAGTACCATTAAGTTGAATAATTATTACCCTTACCGTTAATCCCCCGTCTATCCTTAAATATATTGTCTAGTAATACTTTTAATCATATATAAGGTGCCCTAACCTTAACTTGGGCCCTTAACTGTACTTGATAAGGTGAGGGATTAATATACCTTCTAAAATGTGTTTAATATACATTATGAACTAATATGGTTTATTCTTAATGTCTACCCCCGATATCCCCGAGTATTAATCACTTTGTGCATCCTTAAGGTTTTTAACTATGGTACTAATTGATATTCTCATTTAGGATATAAAACCAATTATTGTAAACCGTCACGTTTATGGGATATAAGAATCTCTTCAGAATGGATGTACATAATTGATTATAGTTGCCTAAATTGGCTATACAACACATATAAGTATAAAAGGGCATTGGCTTATAATTTCCTCTCCATACACGAGTTTGTTAATCCATGGTCATTTATTACTATTAACCAACATAACAAGGGTCTCATATATCCCCTATTAGAGAAATAGGAAATCAGCCCATATATATACTAGATCTTAAAGGTGATGAGGTAGTATATTAACTTACTAACCATAACTAGTAGCTTAGTTAATATATGTAAAAATATTAGGTTCCGTACAATTGTTATAGTCATATAATTAAGTGGTAGCAAGAGGGGATCACCTTATTAGTGGTCCACTTAATTTGAGAAAAGGAATATTATATAAATTATCAAGGCAAAGAGGAGTTTGCATTATAGGGCTAAAATATTTATTAGGGGGCTATTACGTCTTGTTCAAAGATACACCTGTTTGAAAACAGGCTAACATAGACCATTATTGATTTAGTACAATACCGATTATTGTAAGATAAGTTATACTATAAGAGTTTTATCTCATAATAAGCAAAATTGGACCTCTAATCTAGAATATCTATATGGTTTAACATATAGATTAATCTTTAGTCCGGTGAGGAGAGGCTAGAATTTGAGTTATGGAGATATGAATAACCAAATTTCCCTATATCCTATTATCATGTACTTCTAATTAGTACACTGGAAATGATACACTTCCTATATTTTCAAAAGAAAATGTTATACAATTTCTCATACCATACATTATGATAGGGGATCATAGTGTATGGTTACCCCTTCAATAAAAACTAATCGAATTTGGTCCCCACCACATTCTATTAGTACTAAATCGCCTTCAATTGATAAAAATGTATATGGGATATCCCTTTTAACTCCATAATAATCAAAGATATGGTAATTGTATCATATAATTATCACTAAGAAAAATTCTTATTTCCATGGAAATCCTCATATATACATTTACAATTATATACTTGTATATAGTCGACCAATATACTCATAAGCCATAAACGTTAAATCCGTAGTAGGTTTATCCCATAATAGGACGGCCATATGGTAGTGATTATCTAGTCCATAATATAAGTCGCCAGAATATCTAAGCAATTGACAACTTACGAGTGTGTTGCCATGTACCCAGTCCGTGTCGAAAATTGTATAATGGATAAACCTACCCATGTCTAGGTATAAATGAATGACTATTATTAGATACTTGGTAATAACATTATGCCCAATGATAATCTTTTTCAAATAAGGATAAAGGGGAGTCAACCTTCACCAAATGCATTTTCCTGAATTTATTAACGCCATTAAAACTGGGTACTTATTAATAATAACCGGTTCCTAACACCTATCCCCTTATTACAATTTGTTCAAACATCATTATACCTACTATCGGGTATATCATTTTATAAACATAATACAGTTAATGACTAGCTTACGTAAGATGTAATAACAATAACCTTTTTAGGCATTTGTCAATGATTAGAAGTTCTATAATACGAGTGGTCTAGGACAAACCTCGTAATGGGTAAAGTAGTTTGGATAGTGTACTAATTAGGTTAATCAACTAATATTTTGGTTGTTGACCTCTTTAATATTGATTCACCTACGTCAATAGGATTAGAACCTAGGATATGCCTTAACCAAATATAACTATCAGGTATCACTTTAGGCTACCATAAGCGGCATATAATAAGAATATAAGTACCCCTCATAAGGATGGTTGTACAAGATTTATATGAATCAAGTTATATCAACCATTATTGACGATAAATAGCTATATCATAATTGTAATAACCAATACCTAATGGATTGAACTGATTGGCCCTTAATGATTAGATAGTCCTATAATAGGTACTTGACATAAGGGTGATTAGGATGCAATAGGGGAATCAATATATACTTTAGAGAGTGGTTCAATAATATGACCTCCCTTATTATCAAGGTAGCCCCCTAAATCATTTGTTACCCTATAATCAGTTTATACCCATTAACCTATCAAGCGTATCAAATAAATCTATTATGTGGAGGCTCCAATAGTTATCCCTTAATAGTGGCCCATTTAACAGAGTCCATCCTCACGTACTAAGATGTACAAGTGATAGTATTATCCATAACTGTAGGGTAATATCGAGAATTTATATTAGAAAATTGGCTATAATAATTACCCCATATAATGAGACTTAATTAGAATAAGCTAACAAGGGGAGATGATAATCTCCTGCTTGTCTCCTTTTATTCATCCTCATATAGGAATAGATTGTCCCTCTTCATTCATAGCATATCGGAGAGGAAAAAATGTCCTCCACTACACAAATTTCTACTATTAGAAAGGTGTCTTAGATCATTCACAATATGTAGGGAGGATAATCTAGCCTATATGTATAGTTCCTTAAAGAATCTAAGGAGGGTGCATCAAATGGAGCTGCATTAGTTAGTTAATTAAAATCGTTAATAAAGTTGTGATAGTAATATCCTAATAATACACCATTCGAATAAGTAAATTGAGAGATTTGTAACCTGGATTAACCTCACGACATAACTGGAATGAATTCCAAATAGATATTATTATCATCTTATTAGTGTTATAACCAAAATATATTTATTATTGTATAATTGGACGTATTAATAGAGAGAATTGACTAATAATTCTATAGTGACTCGAACTCCAATTAGATAAGGATACCCTTCCAAAGGGAGAGGGACAATATCACAAATAGAATACTTTTATTTGATATTTATATTGACATCTAATGCTGCTAACCAACGTCGAATGGGACTCCTAAAAATATCTCGATTACCATTCTAGATTTTATTTACAAGTTTGGAGTTGCCATCTAGTATTAAGTAACTAGGAACCTAAAAGTAGCACTAGTTTAGAGATTCTATAGTAAAGAGTTGGTTACGCTTTGGAAAGACATTGATCACCCAAAGACATCCTTTTTTAAGAAAGGTACCACGTTTGGTTTAGTCCTAAGTTCATCTCCTAAAATATTTTATTTATGCCAAATTATTTTTTGATTTTTTAAACTCCAATTGTTAAAGCCAAATTAAATTTTTTTAGTTGTTGGGTGTGGCATTATATTGAAATGATCATTAGTCCCCTCCGTCGAGCAACACGTCGGTTTAAACATAGAATCTACTTTAAGCCTTGACACAATTGGTGTATTGGAGGATATTCTAATTATTAAATGATGATCTTTGATAACGACGGTCCCTATCAAATAGGAGACCTCATCACGAAACGATAATCCCTATCAAAAGGAGAATTCATTGAGAGTTTTTATTATTTTTATTTTTTGATCAAACAACAATCCCTCGTATAGAAGACTTCGTTAAAGATTGAAATTGCATAAATTAAAATAATTCTAAACAATTCAAAATTACATGCAATATATTAAAAATGGTAATTATGTTAATTAAAATAATTGAAAATAATTAAATATTTAAATTAAATACAAAATGCTAAGAATACAAAAAAATATAACATTTAAATTATAGTCAAACATTTTATTTTTATTACTTTATTATTTTTGTTCTTCCCTACTCCTATTTTTA